ATATATAATATATATATAAGTATATATACATTTTACATAGCAAACTATGTGCAAATACATAGCAGAAAAAACCAGTTTTCTTACTTCATAGTGATGTCAATTGGTGCAAGTAGTTCTTCAGTCACGTTAGGCATTGAAGCAGTAATATTATCGGAACTTGACTTTTTCATTATGTTCAACTTATAACAACATCCACAAACTTTTTTTTTATCTATATTAAGAATATCACGTTAGTAATTTAGATGAGCCTCCCACAGCTCAAAAATCAATGAAATTTAGGTTTATTCAACGCGTTTTTGTATAAAACAAAAGAATTTGGCGAAAAAAATGTTGCTCTGCCCCGGAAACCGAGATATTGTTAAAGTTGACATCTACAGTATCGATAACTATCAAGGTTAAGGAATCTGTCACATCTACGCAATATGACTGACATAATATTACAATGCGTGGTGAGAATCATGAGGTCTGTTCTTTTTAGCTAAGGGCTTGTTCATATGATTGGCTTTGTAGCGCCACAATTGTAAGCACTGACCCGCTCATATTGAGCTACTTTCTGGCACTACAGCAAAGTATAGCGATTGTCGCGAATATGTTCAGATGGGCGAATTCGTGACAGAGAAGCGCTGCGGATGCATTCAGACCAGAATTGATTGGGTAATCTTGCTACTTACCCAACAGGTAAAATTTATCAAAAGTGGAATAATCGGCTCTTAGACATTTAAAATATTAGATATTTTACGTCCTTAGTTTCTTACGATGTAAAATACATCGAACGCGCTCTATACGCCCCTTCAGGCCTTTGATGCAACTTCAGCCGTTGCCATCTTGTCACATTTGTTAATATTTTTGAAAAATTTAATCACATCATTCACATCTCAAATCTCAAGACAATTCAATAATTAAGAAGAACTGATTCACGACATTCACAGCTTTGCATATCTTGTTTTTCGTTAAAATTGATTTTAAGAGTTAAACCTATTCTACAATACAAAATGGTTGGATACAATAGGGCAATAGGAGTCAAGCACAGTAATTCTTGTGCAAATCAAATGGTTAACAAAACAACTTTATTAATAATTAATCCACTTACATGTTTCGGCTCACTTTTGAACCATCTTCAAAGACAGTATGATGTTGTAATTAAAAAAAATTTTTTTCTTACAAATTAATTCATTTCAGAGCCACCTGCAGCTATTAATAGAAACCATAATATAAAAACGATTTATTGTAAAACAATAGAAGATAACTCACTAAAACAACAATTCCACCATATCGCAAACACTTAAATTCTACAGGCTTAGTCAAAAATTAGTCTTTGACCACTCAACGAATCAGTGTCAATTATATTAATGAATAACTTTTAATACACCTAAAATGTTAATCGCAAAGAAAAAAAAAAGAAGGAAAGAAAACTCTGATTTTAATTATAGTCCAGACGGACATCAAAACCAAAACTAAATCTTTAATAATTTAATCTTAATGTAACGAAAAATGTATACTAATGTCAATCAAGTCAATGTGAAGTAAAATGGTGTCTAACAAAGATTCTATTAGAGAAGAAGCTCTAGACGTTCTACTACGTATTAGAGCATAAAATCATGATGGAAGCTTTGATTAATAAAATGATGAAATTATTTTAGATGTATTAAAATTATAAATAGGTAAACTTATACATTATTATAAAGGTTTCGAATTAAAAATATATAAAAGATATAGATATTATGTGGTAGGAAAGCGTCAAAAGTGACATTCTAACTTTGTCATCAATCATAATTTTAATTTCGTCTTCACAGAAAACATGACTAAAACATGATTAAAACATATTGTCAAAAAGGGCATTTCAAATTACCAGTATGTAACAGTTTGACGATGGGAAGACATTTTATTGTAAAATAAAAGTATTATTAAATGAAAGTATTATTTCATTGCTGTTTCGTATCATCACTATTTCAATTCCACAAAAGTGTAAAATTAATTCAGCTATAGAAAACAAATTTACTTCTATCAATATTTTGTAATTTAACATAAATTTTATTTGTCAATATTATATAATTGAACGTAAATTTTACTCTCACTATTTCTAAAATTTAAATCACTGTGTTTACGATACTCAAAGTGGGGATATAATAGCATCGATGATTGGTTCCACTATTTTACTTCAAAGCCAATAAAAATTTTGACAAGATTGACGCGACTGTCTTATAGGACTTTAATTCTGTCAATCCAATATTACAGACCTGTGATGCTTTTTTGGCCGCGATTCGATTCTTGCAGCGCTATCAATACGCTCACAATCGGTGATGATTCACTCCCTGAACGTTTTGCGTGAGTAAAGTAACATCATGGATTTTTGAATTCGTATGCTCACAGTAACCATAATCCGAAGATGGATCGGCGTGAGCGTTCATTTTATTTACACGAGAAAAGAGAACTAATATGAATTATGTGGAATAGATGCATCCAGGTAGAATAATCACTTAATAAAATTAACTAAATGTAATTGATAATAATATAATAATAATAATATAATAATATTAATTGTTTCAATAATTAAATATGATTGATTCGATTAAGGTTATAACATTTATGAGATTTAAGTTTTTTCATCGTCATTCTTTGAATTCTCGAATACAATTTCCATCCAAATGCACAATAACGCAGCTTTACATTGAATATGATCTATTATTAATGATACACAATTGGGCCTCATGATTGTAGCTACACCAACAGACCGAAATAAAATTGTCGATAGCGCGATAACGAATCGGACCGATCATTAACATCGTAAGAATTGTGAGCACTGTGTGGACGTGAATCGGAGCCTTTGTCGCGCAAAGCGACAAGGATGAAATAACTCGTCTAAACCATGGTGAAAACTGGAAGGGGTAACATGATGTGCTCAGTTTGCAAGCGTCTCTGTCTAAATCTTCGTCGTCTCTGTCTATGAATGTCGCGTGAGGAGAAAAAATTGTCAACTGTGAGACGCTAAACATGGGATATTCATAGTTCGTTTTTATTTTAGAACTGTTTTAAATAATGTCTTAAGATACTAATACAGTCCTTGGATTGACTTATGACAGAAAGAGAAACATAAAGTATATTCTCTTTTTATAGAAAGAGAAACATAAAGTATATTCTCTTTTTATAGAAAGAGAAACATAAAGTATATTCTCTTTTTATAGAAAGAGAAACATAAAGTATATTCTCTTTTTATAGAAAGAGAAACATAAAGTGTGTCAAACAAGGAAAGATTCAGTACCAATTTCACGACGCGAAACAGGCTGGTATTCATAGTCGATTCTTGCATAAGACTGTCTTAAGTACAATCTTGAGATGTCATAAGTCAATTCGAGGACTATATTAGCATCTTAAGACATTATTTAAAAGAGTTTTAAAATAAAAACGGATTATGAATATTATCCCATGTTTAGCGTCTCACAGTTGGCACCTTTTCCCCTCACGCGACATTCATAGATAGAGAGGACGGAGATGAGATTAAAAAGAGATGCTTGCAAACTGAGCACACCATGTTATCTTTTGCACCATGGTCTGAACGCATCCGCAACGTTTCTCTGTCACGCCATGAATTGGTCCATATGAACATATTTGTGACACTTTTCTATAGCGCCAGAAAGTAGCTCCGTATGAACGAGTCAGTGCTTACGATTGTGGCGCTACAAAGTTGATTGTATGAACGAAATTCTTGCCAAAAATTCTTGCACGGCTCATCTTTCTTCCTTTTCTCTTTACGTTGAAGAGAAAGAGAGAAAAGATGAACCGTGCAAAAAATTCAGCTAAAAAAAATGGCCAGGAAGGAAGACTAATGGCCGTATTCATAGTCAGGCCTTATATTTAAGGCTTCTTTAAATTTATCTTCGAATGCTCTACGAATTATTTCATTGACTACTGAGCATTTAAAGATAAATTTAAGGAAGTCTTAAGTACAAAGTCTGACTATGAATACGGGCGTAAAGGTGAAGGGATGAAGTGTATTTGCCGCGTATCGCGTAACCGCGTAATGCCTACTGCACACTGAATGCGATAAGCGATGAGCAACGAGCGATATCCAATAAAAACTTTACTTTTTCTCACGTGACAATGCAAAGCAGAGCTCTCATTGGATATCGCTCATCGTTCATCGCATCCAGTATGTAGTAGACATAACCAATCAATAATCAGTAAAACGCGAAACCACAACAGCGGATCGCTTTTGATTAGTTATCACGGAATTACAATAGGTTTTTAAACCTTAAACTATAAGGAATGGATGAATCACTATTAATTATTTTCCTCGTATTCAATTGTAGTTGGTCAATTTCTTACAACTTAAGCTTAAAACACCTATTGTAGATCCAGACTTACGCGGTTACGCGATACGCGATAAATACACCTCATGGAACTCTAGTCTTAATATGGAGTCCTACGAGTTATATTTACCGCGTATCGCATAACTGCGTAATTAATCAGAAGGGATTCGCTGTTGTGATTTCGTGTTTTACTGATTATTGATTAGTTACGCAGTTACGCGATACGTAGCAAATACGCTTCATGGGACTTCACCCTTATGCCCGTATTCATAGTCAAGCCTTATGTTGAGTGCTTTCCAGCAGACACAATCAGTACCACAGTATAAATATATACAGTATGGACACTGAGCATCGGCACCTTTGATGTAGTGGGTCCCAGGTTACATAACTCGCCGCCATGTTTTGTAGAAAAGGCGCTCATAAATTTGAATTTTTATAAAGCTACAGAATGATTTTTCTAAAAAAAAAAAACAATTCGGTCGTGTCATGAACATTGTTTATAGCGATTGTTTATATTAGGTGTACAAAAAAGTTCTGAGCTTTTTTTTGTAAAATTCAATCTTTATTTAAAAACAAACGAAAAAATATTAATCAGCGAAATATTCTCCGTTTGCATCAATGACCTTTTGCCATCTTTCGGGGAGCTTGCGAATTCCTTGACGATAGAAACTCACCGGCTTCGAAGCGATAAAGTCATCAATGCATTTTCGTATCTCTTCTAATCTCACGAAATGTGTATCAGCCAAATGATGCTGCAGCGACCGGAATAGGTAGTAATCGGAAGGCGCCATGTCTGGGCTATACGCCGCGTGCGGGAGAAGTTCCCAGCCTAACGCAAAGATATGCTCCTGAGTCGTTTTCGCAGCATGAGGTCGAGCATTGTCATGAAGCAAGATCACTTTACGATGTCCTTGGCCAGTAAATGGCCTCTTTTCTTCTAATGCATCGCTCAAATTGGTCAATTGTTGTTGGTAGCGGTCTGCCGTGACTGTTTCACCCTGTTGTAACAACTCGTAGTACAACACACCCTTCCAATCCCACCAGATACAGAGCAAAACCTTCTTGGCGTGGATATTGGGCTTTGGCGTCGATGTCGAA